TCTCCTTTTGTGAAATAATATCCCATCCAATGTTTTACTTTATAAAGGCCTGTTGTTTTATCCGTTTTGTTCTTTTTATGAACATATTAAACAAAATGTTATGTACCTGCTTTGTAAAAAAAAAGACTAACAAAAAAATTGACTGACTAATTATAACAAATACACATACACAAACTAGACTAGATTATTGCTTAAAGGAACAGACAGAAATAAAGTGGCTTTTTAAATTAATGATTTGTGGCTATCGAAGCTAGATCCATGGGGTATAAAAGAGAGATCGGAGCTTATAATGTATAACGAGGAGTTTGTGATGCAGTATTAATTCACTCCTCAATTATACAAGCTTCATTGTATTTGTTCCCAGGGGTGAAATTGAACAAGGCAGAATACCCTCAGCATTGCAAGTAATGCATCCTGACGTCAACCTTTGTGTCATTGGCACTGATTTTGAAATGATGCAACAATGGCTATATGATCACATGCGCCGTAATTCTCCTGTATGTTGTGTGTGAATGGCTTCTAAGGTGCTGAAAGCTCACGTTGGGACACACGATTACTTTCAGAGATCTGAGGGAACTGCGGCAAACAACGCAGTGTGTCGGATTCATTAGGCTAAACGTCACTGTGGATGTGCTGGCTGGCTAACTAATTGGCTAATTAGATTTGTGCTCGTCTAAATCCATTTTACAACTGAATCAATGGCTTCAAGCAATTTGAGCTTCCAATCTTCTCCTGCTTTTTCAATGAAAGAATGGAACAAAAAAGGAGTTTTATTTTACTTATTTCTTTTGCCTTTGGTGAAAGGATAATCTAAATGATAGATTATTAAATAAAACTATTAAATGATTATGGAATAAATAAATTTGAAATTGTTTCAAATTATTTTAAATAGAAATATAACAAATTATTACTTTTGCAAACAACATACTGTCTGTATCACAAGTCTTTAGCTAGTATTTCACATCAAAAAGATTAAAATGGCAATGTCAGGTGCTGAATTTATCTCATCATAATTAAACAGCTGAGCCTTTCAGCAGGAACAAATTTGACTTTTCTAGCAATACTGAGTGACTAGCAAAATTAGTGCCAGAATGGGAAAACTGTGATATTTCAGTCTGACTGTTACTTCTGCCTCTGTCTGGAACTCTATTTTTTAATTTCAGATTTCAATAATAAATCAAAGTAACAGTCATTTACATCTTAGGTAGTGATGCAAGTTCATTACACACTCTAGAGCACATTTCCCCATACGTATGTCTGAATTAAGGCACTCTGTCAGTCATTTCTCCTCATTAGACTATGATCCAACACAAGCCTTGCTGTAGCTCAGTTAATCCACATGAATTGAAATGGGAAATTACTCAACCAGCCTCTCTTCGGTTCCATTTGTCTTGTGGATTGAAAAAGTCTACACTATAAAACCCCGATCCACTGCGCTCAAACATGGTAACACTTTATTTTGATGGTCCCGTTTGAACATTCTGTTGACTATAAGTAACTTTGCAACTACATGTCAACTTATTCTTTCCCTAACCCTAGCAGTCTACTAATACTCTACTAACACTCTAATGAGAGTTAGTTGAGATGTAGGTGCAACGTTACTTATAGTCAACTGAATATGTTAAAGGGACCATGTGTAAATCAAGTAAAGTTAAAGTGCATATACTGTTGAAACCTGTGCCAAAATGTTATTCCAGTAAAAGTACACTTACTTCTTTTAAATTATACTTGAAGGATCATGTATTTAACATTTACATCAGTCAGCATTAGTGTAACGTTCACAAAATTCACGGTTCGGTTGATACGATACATTTGTGTCATGGTTCGGTACGTTTCCGATACAGCAAAAAGAAAGAAATGCCTGAGAAATTTCCTTGATTTAATTTCATTATATTTTTGTTAAAAATAACATCATAAAGTATGATTTTTTTTTTTTTTTTACTTTGAGCAATGATTGAGCTAACGTTACTTGACTTTTCTTAGAAGCATATAAAACAAAACAGCTCCTTGGCTTGGACATATTTGTAGTAGTTATAAACAAAGGTTTATTAGTTCAGATTAACATTTGAGGGCAGCAATTGTATTCATAATGTCAAAATAAAACTGTGATGTTACTTGAAAGCATTATTATAGCCTACCTGTCAAACTTACAGTGGTTGGTTACAGTAACTCCATGGTGAATGTTGATGATGTGGACACTGTATAGTTCATTCATGCTACAATGTTTCTTCCTGTTTTCCACGTCAGCGCGGTTTGATCCGTTAATAACGGAGAAATGTGAATGTTTCTCACTAGATCTCGCAGCGATGTTACTTCAGTTCAGTGGCGAATTCAATTTTTTTCTTTCTGTTTTCGCTGTGTAGTAACAGTGACGCTTGATTGAGATCGGCTCGCGTTGTTGGTCCAAACTCATAAAGGGTCCGTCAACAACACAACAACGAGTAGCTCAGTTTCGTTCCGCTTAAATTATATTTGCTATTTGATGTTGGGCAATGTTGTGGTCACGCCAGCGTCTCTACTACATTATGAGCGCACTTGCCACGCGCGACGCACCTACATTTGAATTAACGAAATTTTGGTCGGCAGGAAAAATGGTACAACCAAACCGAAAGCCTCGTACCGGATGGTTCAATACGAACACGTGTATCGTTACACCCCTCAGCATGAAATAAAAATGTTCTCAATAGATGACAACCTGTCACTCACATAAGATTCACCAATAGCAAACCGCATCCAATCAATTCCCAATGGACAAAATCAAGCCCGTCCAAAAATGTTTCACTCTTGAAAAGACTATCCAAACTTCTTTTTCATGCTGACTAACTTTAACAACAAAGGCCTCCATTTCAAGTCTCTGGATGGTCTTCCACAAATTCTCTGGATTATATCCCAGCAATGAAGGATCCCATGGCAATGCTCAACACCAATCAATGCAGAGATTTTAAACATCAACTTTTAAACCAACTGGGATGGAAATATTTCATATGGCATCATATGTGTTAAGTGACTGAGTAAGGACATGCCGATTCACTCAATGACCCATATTTAACAGCATTAACTGCATTACTGATAACTTTACACGTATCCCAGCAACCGCCGATCCACACCAGCAAACATTTTCAATTTTTTTTCTTATTTAAACACAGAGTGCCCCGCAAGGTTTTAAATATTACATGTGAGTCAATCAAGTCTGTTTGTGTTCGACTGTGTGATTTCGAGTGTGCCTCGGCAGCACGAGGTGAGTGGGGTCAGAGTCAGAGGCAGAGAGACATGTAGAGATCAAGTGTTTGTTAAAATTTCAAAATGATCTCTTGAGAAAGGTCTCAAGTGAGCCACATTCTCCTCTGGTTCACATCTTTGTGGATGACTTAAACCACGATACTATAATTAGGCCATAGTTAATGTGCTCAAAACATGCTTGTGTATTCACAAAACATGTCGTCTATTTCTGCACTTGTTTCATAGCGACTGAAAATTCAAATGTAGTTGTCTTTCTTTTGCTAATGGTGTTTTGTCCTTAAAAAAGCAACATTTTTGCAACTCAAACACACATAACAGTCTTTTGATTCATGTGGCAGTTAAGCCATTTCAGGGAGTAAATTCAATTTATGAAGGGAGGAATTCAATCACTGGCTTGTAGCTTCCCATCTACATAAAATAAGTTGGTATTTGGATAGTCACGCGAGACTCTGTATTGGGCCCTAAATATTTGCCCAATTGGTTTTAGTAAAAACTATTAAACTATTTGTCCCAGGAACTTTTTTTGCCCCAGACCAGTTGCATTTACACCACGGACTAAAGTACTAGTAAGATTAGTAAGATTAGTCAGGTGACGTTTAACTGTGTGCGACTGCTCCTCCCAAGTTTTTTGAGTGCGTTTTGAGTTTTAAGTATGGAGGAGAAGATTCAAGCTTTTGTGTGCGATCTATTGGTTTACAAACAAGGTAACGGCAGAAAAGAGATGAGCACTAATACTAAAGCGTATTCAGAAAGCTTGCAATGCTAGATACAAAAAAAGAAGTTATCAGCTATAGCGTACATTGACCGTGAGATGGATCGGGCAGAAAGAACAAGATTGGTAAGAACCAAGAAGCTCAACCAATTAGCATGTTCAGCGCACAAGTCCCACCCCGAAAGTTCCTGAACTCTTAAAAAGTACTACCTTGACAGGAGGGACTTTCTGTGGGGAATTTTTTTACCCTTAGATCCTGGTTCCTACAGTATAAACACACAGAGTACCACCACCCCAAAGTTCCTTCCTGGGGAAAGGTGGAAACACGGCTTTAGTAATGTTCCTTTTAGGCACAATGTTGGCAGTTACTTTGTTTTTGCTCCACCAACAAAACTAGTTCCAAAAGAACCGAAAGCAAAAACCATTCTTCATCTCAGAACAAATTACTGAAGCAGTGTGTGTGAACAAATTGGTTGAGTTAAATGTTTCAAAACTCGGGACTGCATTTTGGCATACTATCCTTACTAATTTACCATCTTTGGCATGAAAGAATGATTCAATAATGACTCGCTCATAAACGCAACATTCACTTGTTTTGTTCATGTGTTTTTGAAGAACACTGATTTTTTTGAAGAACTGGTTGAATGACTCATTTAAAAAGACACCTACTGGGATATCAATGTAACTTGCAGTCATTCAATATCAGTAGTGGAACGATGAATAGCGATTAATGAAAAAAAGAAGCTTTCAAACCAAGCAGCTTTATATTTGTAAATGAGGAGAAGTTGCAAACTTGAATCACATGAATTCCAATTGAGACAAATGTACGGATTTTTCAAGTACAAAGTTTTACCTTTACCTCATACATTTGTCTCAATTGGAATTGTGATCGCACCATTGTGATCTGTGGAATCGGTGCTCCTGGAATTCTGCTCAGCCAATTAAATTTGAAAACGAAGACTGAGATTTACATTATTCATTTTCCATTCTCCATACAAGTGCACAGTTATTGACAAAATAATACAATAAAAAATCCATATCAGCAACAGTACTGTAAAACATGTCTTAGAACATGAATTTTATTGTTTTGTATGCAATCTGCATATGATTGATGCATTTGTGGAAAACAGTCTGACATGGTGCAAATCATTTTTCAGGAGAAAAGAAAAACCCTTCAGTGAACACAGGATAATAAGGTGACAGTCCTAGTGAGGCTTTACAACAAGAAACATCTGGTATTCTACAGGCTTACTAATGTATAATTGCATGGTTTGTTCACATATCCTATATTTTTCACAAAAATGTTGAAACAGCTTTTTATCACATGTAGACATTGAGGCATACATGTATGAACCAGATACATTCAAACATCATGTTCATCTAAAATTTAGATTTGTGTTTTAGTTTTCATCTAAAACAGTTTTTTTTAAACATTTAATTTTCTCTTTGAACTAATAAATACAATAAATAATAATAAATAAAATAGCACACCATCCGGAATGCTTTTCCCCGACACAAACAAACATTAAAAATATATACATACAGAGGTAGGACAACAATGGATCATTTAAAAAAACGTTTTCTAAAAAAATACCTAGACAAAAACCAGATGGATGAGGGACCAGAGCGTGGAGGCATATACACTGCATGTAGAGCGGTGAACAACAGGACGCAAAGATGACTTCCTCTCCTCATATCATGTTCTGAAAATAAACAAGCCCAAAATGACATCAAATCATCATTTTGTTGCCAAGCAATCCAATCCTGGAATATGAAAGCACATGCACTAATATTCTTACCGACAACATGGGTCGTATTTTTAATATTCAGTGAAATATCAATACCATGGAGACATCGCAGTTCTTTAAAAAAGTGGAAATGTAATCATTTGCCGGATTCATTTAGTGTGTTTCCAGCTCTGCACGCTCAATGTCCTGGGGCTTATCGATTGCTAATTTACAACAACGCTCCAAGGCCCCTACGCGTGGCCAACAACTAATGAACTTATTCAGTCCATGTACGACCAGACAAGACACACAGTCAAACTCATCTCACCTCATTTCTCCTCCTTCCTGCCCCCAAGGAACGCAAGGTTGCGGAGGATGGAGAGGCAGAGCTTCTCACGAGGGAACAGTGGCTGGACATCTGACCGCTAGGCAACAGGTTTGCTTTGAAATACTGGATTAAATCTTCATCTATGCAGGAAAATATTCAACAGTCAAATACAAGAAAAAAAGCAACACAGAAACATTTGTATATTTCACAACCACACGTTATGAAGAAAATTACAGTGATGTTTGACTGTGCTAAACTCCCATCCATGGTCCAAGTGTTATATATATATATATACACTCACCGGCCACTTTATTAGGTACCCCATGCTAGTAACGGGTTGGACCCCCTTTTGCCTTCAGAACTGCCTCAATTCTTCGTGGCATAGATTCAACAAGGTGCTGGAAGCATTCCTCAGGGAGTTTGGTCCATATTGACATGATGGCATCACACAGTTGCCGCAGATTTGTCGGCTGCACATCCATGATGCGAATCTCCCGTTCCACCACATCCCAAAGATGCTCTATTGGATTGAGATCTGGTGACTGTGGAGGCCATTTGAGTACAGCGAACTCATTGTCATGTTCAAGAAACCAGTCTGAGATGATTCCAGCTTTATGACATGGCGCATTATCCTGCTGAAAGTAGCCATCAGAAGTTGGGTACATTGTGGTCATAAAGGGATGGACATGGTCAGCAACAATACTCAGGTAGGCTGTGGCGTTGCAACGATGCTCAATTGGTACCAAGGGGCCCAAAGAGTGCCAAGAAAATATTCCCCACACCATGACACCACCACCACCAGCCTGAACCGTTGATACAAGGCAGGATGGATCCATGCTTTCATGTTGTAGACGCCAAATTCTGACCCTACCATCCGAATGTCGCAGCAGAAATCGAGACTCATCAGACCAGGCAACGTTTTTCCAATCTTCTATTGTCCAATTTCGATGAGCTTGTGCAAATTGTAGCCTCAGTTTCCTGTTCTTAGCTGAAAGGAGTGGCACCCGGTGTGGTCTTCTGCTGCTGTAGCCCATCTGCCTCAAAGTTCGACGTACTGTGCGTTCAGAGATGCTCTTTTGCCCACCTTGGTTGTAACGGGTGGTTATTTGAGTCACTGTTGCCCTTCTATCAGCTCGAACCAGTCTGGCCATTCTCCTCTGACCTCTGGCATCAACAAGGCATTTCCGCCCACAGAACTGCCGCTCACTGGATGTTTTTTCTTTTTCGGACCATTCTCTGTAAACCCTAGAGATGGTTGTGCGTGAAAATCCCAGTAGATTAGCAGTTTCTGAAATACTCAGACCAGCCCTTCTGGCACCAACAATCATGCCACGTTCAAAGTCACTCAAATCACCTTTCGTCCCCATACTGATGCTCGGTTTGAACTGCAGGAGATTGTCTTGACCATGTCTACATGCCTAAATGCACTGAGTTGCCGCCATGTGATTGGCTGCTTAGAAATTAAGTGTTAACGAGCAGTTGGACAGGTGTACCTAATAAAGTGGCCGGTGAGTGTATATATATTAGTTTTATTTTACCATTTTTTTAAAGCGATAGTTCACTTTGAAATTAATTTTTGATATGTTTTAGCTTACCTCAAGGGCATCCAAGATGTACAGTAGGTGTCTTTGTTTCCACAGTATTTTCAATTTTGATATTTTTCCGAAATCTCATTATTTTTGAACTACAGAGATTTCGGAAGTTTTACCCTTTCACTGTGAAGATCTAAACATATTTAGATATACTGGAAATCGCAATGGAAGACGATTTCTATACATCTAAATATGTTTAGTGATAGAGTAATCTCTGTGTAAACAATGATATAAATATATAAATATATAAATACTGTTCGTTTTCTCACACAAACCGCTCATTTCGTGTCTTAGGCCATCAATGTGTACTTACATTTACGAGTCATTAAATCATGTTTCATTTTGACTTATCTGTGCATGCTCTTTGATGTGAACCCAGGATGGACCCCATAAACCTGCATTATATGACTGATAGACAACAACGGTTTGACTGAAAAATGTCAAAATTGAAAATACTGTGGAAACAAAGACACCTACATCTTGGATGCCCTTGAGGTAAGCTAAAACATATCAAAAATTAATTTCAAAGTGAACTATCCCTTTAAAACCTGCATCCTATATTTAATGGCATTGCTATGTAGGTGTTTTGCAGCTGATTTTTAGTTGTAACAGTGGCAACCCTAAACTCTGACCTTCCGTGCTCCACTGTGCAGCTGTTCTGCGGTCTGATCTTCTCTCTCTGTGCTGCGAGGTCGTCCTGCTCCCGCCATTATCCACTATGTCTGTCAGGTGCTTGAGAGGGTCCTCTGTTAGAGGAGGTGGCTCAGGTGGAGGCGGCAGGTCTGCACACATGTGTGAATGATCATTTATACACTCCATTATTACAGACAATAGTGGACAAAGCACACAGATAGCCTAATAAAATATATCGCTAGTATAAGTATTTAGTACTCCTTTTCAATTTTACTCGTGAATTTTACTCGTAATGTACTTAAGTATTAAAAGTACTGATTGATGACAGTTTATTTTGCAAAATAACAATGGTGAAATCAAATTGTTGTTAACATTTGAAAAAGAACAGACTACATTCTAGTTTCATTCATTTTTAGAAACTGGTACAGAGACTGGGAAGATATATGGGGATTAATTTGCATTATCGGATCAATTCACAAATGAATCATTCAGTGTGATTTGCGAACCAATTTAACAGGTTAATTGAAAAGAATCACAAATCGGACACCGCTATCGCGTCTCGTCTTCAAATCAAAATAACGAGGAACGACATGTTTTTATGAAATCTAGAGGAGTAAAAAGTATGATATTAATCTTTGGAATGTAGTGAAGTAAAAATTTTAAAAAGTACACTTGAAAAATGTACTTAACTACAGTAACAATGTCCATGACTGAATAGAGAAACAACTGCTTTAGTTGCTTTCAATAAATAATCTATATACTGTGTATGTGGGTTCTTACTGCCTGGTTTCAACACTTCTCGTCTCACAAGGCCATCCCTCTGAGATTTCTTCTTAGGCCTTGGCTTCTGAATTGATGATGTAAATGACGTATATTCACCTAATAGCAGTAAGAAAACAAAGATTAGATTCTCCATCCATAATCATTAGCAATAAATGTAATAAAAACAGTAATTTTTGCAGTGTTGAAGGGTCTACTTGTACCTGTGTTGTTGGAGAATAGTTCCTCCATTTCTGCAATGTCTCTCCAAGGGCCGCTGTGGTGGGGAACACTGCCAATAAGAGACTCTGTCTTGGTTAATGGCTTTGGGTTGGAGAGAGCAAACTGTGCACTGGATGTACACTGGGCTTTCCTGTAGAACAAAACACATTAAAAATGTAGTTTTTTGTTTGTTTTATGACAATTTAGACTCTAAGGCTATAGTCATTGCAAAACATGGTAAAATCAGAAAAAAAGAACAAGAATTAAAAATAATAATAATTTAATAATCCTTATTTATTTTACACTACATGAAGTATATACAGTATAAGACTACACTGTTCAAATGTTTGGATTAAGTAAGATGTTTTATTGTTTTAGAAAAAAGTTCACCAAGGCTGCATTTATTTGACACAGCAAAAACAGTATAAATTGTGATATATCACTATAATTTCAAACAGCTTTTTTCTATTTGAATACATTTTAAAATGTAATTTATTCCTGAGACGTCAAAGCGGAATTTTCAGTATCATCACTCCAGTCTGTAGTGTCATGATCCTTCAGAAATTTGCTGCTATATTTATTATTATTATTCATTGATAATGTTGAGCTGTCAAATTAAATATTGTTGGTCTACTTAATGAATATCTTAAATTTCACATCACTTCAAGAAGACTTATGATACATTCAAGGTGATTTTCAGGAAGCCAGGATATTCTTCAAAAATATATGTTCCATAAAAGAATGAAAATCACGTCATGAAGATTTTTTCTAAAGTCATCATTAAATCAAAATGGACAATTCCAATTTTTTATTGAATTTTAGTATTTATTATAAATGATTCATCCAATATTACACATCATTATTATTATGTTTAATGTATTATTATATTATGTGTATTACACCTCTTCTCTTCTCTGATGACGTGTTTACAGGCGTGTTTACGACAATGTCACACAAATAGCAAACCACAACCATCTAATCAATTCCCCATTCCCCATGTTTTCTTGTTTGACAAGCCGTTTTACTTGGAAATGCGTCACAATATGGAAGAAAATACAATCGGAGCTTCTATTTCATGCTGACAATTCCTTTGTCAAGCCCTGATGTGTGTTTTTACCGTGGCAGCAGGTCTGGATGCTGCAGGCGTGGGTTAGCCGGGGATTGCTCCTCGCTGGGGGAGGGTGTGAGAGTTGCTGTGGACTGCAGACTGTAGGTTGTGGCCCTGGTGGTTTCCTCTCCTCTCAAAGGCAAAGTGGCTGCGTCCAGACCCTCGATCAGATAAGTTCGCTCAGGCAGAGGAGGACACCACTCTTCATCCTTCTCAGGGCTATAGGGATGTAAACTGATTAGGATGCTAGTTAAACCTTAAAACTCAATGCACTACTACAACACAAACTAAGGGTAAAACAAAGCAAGGGCTAAAAAAGCACATAAAAAGAGCGCATATCAAAAGACTCGGGACCCCTGATGTATCAAGCACAGATTTCATTACACGATAAAAGACGGTAAATAAAACCAGACTGTGGTCCTTTGAAAAATAAATACAGATATTTCATATCAAAGAGAATCCAATATGGGTACAAAAGAAAGCGTATCAAAAATTTGTCAAAGCAGTTTCATTCATGGAGTGTGATGATAAAAATATGTTGTAAAAGGAAGAAAGCATTGAGGACAAAGGTTGGTATACGTGGATTTGCTTCATTCCAAGCCATGGCTATTCTTAAAAGTTCATTCTGGGAAGCCATGTCTGGTGACCTGCCTCTAGGCCCCGTCTCAAACAGCCAGAAAGGCTCGGCGGCTCTAAGCGCTAACATCATTAGCCCCTGTCACTTTGAGCTGAAACATCAAATAAGATTAGATAAGAACTCAATTTATCTCCCAGACTACATTTTACCATGTTGCACAGGTTCCATACTGGGTCACTTTTCAGAAAAGGAGAATTATAGCCAAAAGTGTCAGAACTTTTTTTTAAAAGAAGAAGAATGACAGCTACTGAAAAGCACATAAGCTTATGACATCATCTGGAACTTGGCTGACAGACTCTTACAAAAAAAGGTATCAACAAGTAACGGTATTCCCATGATGTTTGGAGACATGTGCCATGGTAATACCATGTTGTTGTTGTTTTTTAGATATGTGCCATGGTATTAATGTTTTTTTGACATGTACTGTGTGTTTGGAAATTTAACATGGTATTACTGTGACTTTTGAACATGTACCATGGTATTACCATAGCATTTTTAGCATAGTACCAATTGGACATGCACCATAGTATGACATTGTTTTTATGACATGGTACTATGGTTGGGGGTATGCACCATTGTAATGCTATGTTTTTTAGATATATACTCTGTCATGGTCCCATGAGCTGTATCATGGTACCAGGAAATGTACCATGGTATTAATATTGCTTTTTGAACAAATACCACGGTACTACCATGGCATTTTGGCATAGTACCATGTTTTGGACATTTCCCATGATATTACAATGGTTTTATGGCATTTTGAACAATATTTAATACCATGGTCTTTTGAAATGGTGCAAAAGTTTTTTTTTGGACATTTAACATGGTATTAGCATGTTTTTAAATTGTCCACAATTTTTGGACATGCACCATGGTTTTATGACATGTTTTGGACATGTACCATTGTAATGACATACTTGCCACGTTGTTTTTTGACATGCTGGAACATTATAGTACCATGTTTTGTTTTAAGTACATTTACCGTAAACTACCATGTTTATTTGGACGTCTACCAATTCCCTGCCACAGTATGGTGGTGGTTATTACCTGTGTGTTTTTTCTGTGTTTTGAACCTCCTTGTTTTGTGCTGCATGTTGGGACAACACATCAGACCATTGGGGTGAGGAGGTTTGTCCCAGAGACTTTGTCAGTTTGGCTGTAAAATAGCATGGAACAGTCATCAGGCCGAACTCAGGTCCATTTGCATAAAATTCAGCATCAGCACTTGTTGATCTAATCTATCTGCATTATTCCTGCCTAATACCTTAAGGATTAATCCCTTAACCTTCATAATTGAAATCAATGTTGCTCCTACCATTTCCGCCTCTTGGGTACTGAAGTTTTGCATATTCTGCTCCACTGTGGCTGGACTGAAGGCTCCACTGGTCCAGGTCCTGCTCCATGCTATAGAGGTCAGTTTTGGAGAGAACAGGTGTGCTGGTGTATGGGTCTGGACCTTGAGAGTACAGGCTGCACAGGTCATGCCCATCTGCAACGTTCGGGTTGATGGTACAATATATGTCGCCTTCATTAGATGCTGGGCTGTACTTCCCATTCTGATTCAGATAATTTGATAATCCTGAAGCTGGAAAACAGATTTATGAGTTATGGGAGATATTAGTAAGTGTGACAGTACCATAATGTAGAGTACCGCCCATGACAGAGATCTTACTGTTATAGTATTGATCTGTGGATTCAAGTCTGCCTGCACAGCAGTTGACTGAATCTTTTCCATTTCGAGAGAAGTTGCTGGCGGGCCACGAGTCAGCCAGCCAAGGGTAACTACCCAAGTGAGACTCCAGCAGACATGGCCTGTCAGGAAATGGAAATATTTAATGTAATATAGATTATTTTACATATTTCTTAAAAAAACAAATATATATATATATATATATATATTATTTTAAAAGTGTTAGTTTTTTTATATACTTTTTCGTGATCGCTTTCCATGCTCTGCTTTTTTTTTGCTGAAGTGTTTGTAAGATGCTATATTTGTAAGGATGCCCCCTTTTTATGTGAAAATAAAATAAAATCCATAATATGACCCATTTAATTATAATCACATTAGACATTTACACATTCTTATTAAAACAAAAAATATTTTTGGTGGAAACCATGATACACTTTTCAGGATTTCTTGAATAGAGAGTTCATGATACAGACCTTCCATTTATAAGATCTGACCCATCGCCATGAGAGAGTGCAACTAAGGAAGAAAATATGAGAAAGAATCATCATAAAGCTCATTTGAAAACATGGTGCATTGGTAGTTTTGTGCTAGCAGAAGGCACCTGCAGGTGTGTATGCAAAGGAAGTAGTATAGTGTCCAAGCTCTTTGCTCCTTCTGTGTTTGCAGTAGATCCAGGCGCTAAAGGCCATTAGAACCATCCAGGACGATACACCAATCCCGGCGATGAAGGCTGGCTGACGGACCACCTCTGTGATCTGCTCGGATAGGCTGACACTATCATCCTTCACCACTGACAAGGACTGATCTATTGCTACTTCTGATGGAAGATATAAGGAGGAAATGGCAAAAAAAGTGAATAAGAGGGATTATGAAAAATTGGAAAAGAGACAGAAGAGTAAATGCTTCCTGTCTTATACAGGAAACATTTTATCAAAATATATTTCACTCAATCTATCTTCAAGTGACACACAATATGGAAATCCCTTAACATTTTCGATTCCTTAAAATAAAATATGAGAAAATGCTAAGATAAGAATATGTCAGATGGGATAAATGTCACCATCAGAGTTGTGTGGTTATTTTTCCCCCCTAACCTGCTGGAAAAATCCATCTTAAACTTGTAGCTGTGTTTGGAACATGGTAGCAGGATTAATAGCTGGGTATTAGCTGAATCAAGCCAATGATTAGCTGGCAAAGCATGGCATTCGGTTATCCGTGAAGGTTATCAGCTGGTTTAAATTGGCCATTACTTGGCCAAGCTGGTTATTAGATGGTCCAAGCAGGTTATAAACTGGATCAAGCTTGATGACAGCTTGCAATCTGGCAATTAGCTGGCCAAGCTGGTTAGTAGTTGGATCAAGCCTGTAAATAACTGGCGAAGTAGCCTATTAGCCTTGTGTCTAAAGTTGTTATTAGTTGAATCAAGCCGGTCATTAGCTGGTCAAGATGTTCATTCAATAATCTAAGACAGTTATTAGCTGACCAAGCTGGTTATTAGCTGAATCTAGTCTGATAATAGCCGGCAAAGACGTTTATTAGCTAGCCAAAATGGTTCTTAATGGGTCTAATTATTAGTTTAAACAAGCCTGTCATTAGCTGAATCAAGCTGGCCATCAGCTGCTTGGCCATCTTAAGCTACTAAGACCAGTGATGGGAATAACGGCGTTATAAATAAATGGCGTTACTTAGTAACGAGTAATCAAACAAATTACTGTTTCCCCCGTTACAACTCTGTTTCTGTTAATGACAATAAAATGCAGAGTTACTATAGCCTAATTGAGCTCACTGTGTGTGTTTATGAAGCACCGGACTGGACTAAAGTGAAGCGAACGCCGCGAGATCGACTGCGTGAGAGAGACATTATAGTTTGTTTATAAATAAATTACAGCATTAGAATAATCTCTATAGCCTATAGGTATCATCTGTAACATTTTAATTAATTTACTTGGTTATAAAAATAAAAATAAATAAATAAATAACCTGCAGGGAACGTTCTGGGAATTCAGGTTCTGGGAGCAGTTGTTAAACTGTTTATCATTTTAATTTTCACTACAAAGAGTTTATGTATATATTTTTTATAATTATTTATTTATTTTTGGTACATTTAAGCATAGTTTATTTTTAGACTTATTTGTTGGCCAGTTGTGGTCTGTGCAAAATTAAATATTAAAAGTTCTAAACCAAAACCTAAAATTATGTTTTATTGTTCCACTATAGTAATGATAATATTTAAAATAATATATTGAATTTTATAGGCGTCTCTCACATTGTCCCACAGCAACATTACAATAGTGTAGATTAGTGTACATTGTTTTATAATAATAATATTATTATATAGTGTCCATTTTATTAATTTAACATATTTAATATTGGGTGCATCCAAGTTATTTGACATTGGCCTGTTTTTTTTTTTTAATGCACTTTCCCTAGTTACTTTTAATGAAGTTTTATTAACTAAGTTCGGGAGGAGCATGTTCAGATAATTAACACGAGTGGACAGCAATCAGCAATCAATGATGAGAGGGTACAAATAGACTCAGCAGTCTTGCGTCGATTCATTGACAGTTTGCAGCATCCCCCCTCCACACTCCTCTTTCTAAAAAATCACTTACATACGGGGGGAATACTCTGGGTTCGGGCTGGATTCGAGCTCGGAGCCCTCCCTCCGGACAGCACGCCAAATACGCATTAAATCTTATTCCTCAATTATATGTAAGTGTGAACTCGTGAATAACCATTTAATACAGTTACTAACTCCATTACTATTTGTGAAAAGTAACTATAACTAATTACTTTTTTTAAGTAACATGGCCAACACTGAGGAAACTAGTTTGTTGAGTAGCTTAAACCAGCTAGAAATCAGCTACCATGTTCCAAAACACATCAACAAGGTTAAGTTAGATTTTCTGGGTGGAAATGATGGCGATACTCACTCAGGAAGATGAACACAGGTTGGCTATGAATGCCCTCTCCTGCAGTTGTCACCGCTGCAACCTGTATACGATACATTGACTCAGGCAACAGCCCGTCCAACAGCACCCACAGCATATCCCCATCCACGCTCCTGTTGACCACCTGCTGAGACTCGTTTCCTACACACCACACCTGTATGACACAGAACCAGACTTCAGCGTTACCATTTTACCTAGTGGCCACAGAGAGGGTGTCTGCATAAAGGCTTCACCGTTCTCACCCTGTACTCTAGTATGAGTTCTTCCGGCACACCAGGGGGAGGAGGCAGCCAGGACACTCGCACGGTCGAACTGTTACTTAACTGCACCACACTGACTCCCTGAGGAGGGCCGATGAGCACTAAAAGCAGAAATATGATGGACAAATGACAAAACATTAACATTACAGCAAATCTTACAGGGTAGAATGAAAGTCATACAAAGTAAAAGCTAAAGACTAGAGTCTCAAAACAAGTCGTACCTTCATCAGGAGTGCGAACCACTGCGATTTCACTGTCAATCCCCTGGAACTCTTTGTAATACGGTCTCATTTTGAGCTCGTATTCTTTTCCTCTGTGCAGCTGTGTTAGGACAGCAGTGTGTGGGGAACCTGCTTTTATGTCCTGTATCATCCATGCGCTCCCCACAGGCCTGTAATACAGCCTATAGCCTTGAATGTAGCGAGGGTGCCGGTCAAGCTGAAATAATATCATACATATTCATATGATATCAGGTCAGGAGATTCCATTTCATTGGCAATTTGAGAAGACAGTGACAACAAATCATGAATAATAATTTATGTATGTTAATGCAGATAAGTAATATGATGGCTGATATTATACATCTATGATTCAAAATGCATGTTCACCTACATACGAATAGCACGTCACATACTCACAGTCCATGTGATCTGAACACTGGAAGGGCTCAAGACTTCCAATGTCTGTAGATGAACCTTCACCCCTCCTAAATCAATCTGTACATGTGCCTGGTCTTTTCCCTGACCATCTGGGCCATCTGAAAATGTATACAAAACATCATGCAGATATGCACAAATTATAAAATCAGCCATCAAACACAACTCTATTCAAACCTTGTGTTCGGACGGGCTCTGAGATGGGGCTCGGGTCACTCAGGCCGTAGGAGTTGACCGCTCTGATGATGAACAGGTACACAGTATTGGGGTAAAGCCCAGACACTGTGTGCTTCTCCTGCCTCACAAGGTCAGCTACAGTTTGCCATGTGCTGCCCACTGACTGACTGGAATAAGACACAAAATAACACCACACCAATTAACAAAACACATCTCCAGCTTTAAAAATAGAGCCATGTTCAAAGCTGTTGATTGTACATCAGTTGAATTCTATACTAATGTGCAGCTTACAGTTAGGCTAAATAGCCATATTACATGTACATTATTGAATCCAATTATTTAAAATTAGATTCTTTAATCTTTGCTATTGATACCTTTTTATAAAAGGACTAAATCATTCAAGGCTGTGCTGCGCTGTGCCTTGCATTGTCTTCCCTTTAACTGTATTAACAATCCCTGTAAAGCTCTCCCGTACACATAAAAAGAAGCTATTAGAATTATGTATGGGTTCAATTATACAACAGAGGATACGCATATTCAAAGAATTGTGATATTAGTGATTCTATTATGTTTTGGGGAAGCTACTTTGAAACTGTAGCTTGTCAAGTCAAACAATTCATATTTGAAACAATATTAAAGCTGCTCTTTAGTAGTAAAAAGGAGACAATGTCAAAGACAAAAAGGCTTCCAACAAAGACAATGAAGCAATATTAAGGAGCTTTATCAGATATAAATGTCAGTAAGAATTGATTAAATGTGACAATAAAGACATTTCTGTTTCAAATAAATGCTGTTTAACTTTCTATTCATCAAAGAAATATGAAGAAATTATTCATTGACTCCACAAAAAATATTAAGCAGCACAACAGTTCCCTTTCAGTCACTCACATTTGACATAGTCGACTGATTGGGATCACGCATAGGGAGCCTGTCATCTTTGAGTATTGTTAAAACGAGCCACATTGGCGTGGCCAAGTCATGATAAACCGCTACTTGTTGGAAAATTATCACTAGAAAACCTGCAGTATTTAAAAAAAAGCTGAGCTATTGTCATGAAAATTAAAATTAGCATTTATTTAGTTACTCACAAACACCGATTCTAAAAGCTTCACTAGCAAACTGAATTGGACACATTTGCCTTTTGGTAATGAGAAAAAATTAGCATGGAGCAGGGTGTGAAGGACAATGGAAAGGATCTGGCCTCGTCGTCTCCATGCACCATGAGCACATAAGGGCTGCCCACTTGACTTCTCGGACTGTGCACAAGACCCTGACCTCTCAACATAGCGAGATGCAACATAAATCCGAGTGTCTCCTTAACAAGATGTCAGAGCAGAGCTAAATTATGACTAGGCCTCTACTCTCTGCCTCCCTGCTGCTCTCCTGGCGGGACAATAATAGAGCCTTCTGTTCATCTGACCTCTACAGAGCCTAGAGGGACATGTTCTGCTGAATTCTAACTGCAGCCCCAGGGAACATCCAGGCTGGAAGAGAGCATTGCTTTACTCTCACTTCACCAAAAACCTCCATCCGCTCTGACACTGAATGACGCCTCCAACTTACCCCGGACCAATAATGAGAACGTCTGCCACTCACTCAACCCATCAAGTCACTAGACAGGGTGTAGAACCCCATTCCCCTTATATTTCTTTTAAATATGCAGCAATGCAGGAGACTTTAAATCCATGCAGGAACTGATTCAATGCATTTCCGAATACGAGATAAAAGTGCAAAATTTGCAGTAGAGGAATGTTCCAGGCTCAGTACAAGTTAAGCTGTATCGACAGCATCTTTGACATACTTTTCATTACCACCAATCTCAGCCCTCAGTTTGTAAACACAAGCAAAAATCATACGTAAATTATGCAGGGTCAGAAATTAAAGGTGGTACAGAGGAAAAAAATGCCCCATATTAAAAGAAAAAAGAAATATTTTAGGGGGCCGTAATGAGTTCCTCTGTTTTTCTCGTTTGTAAAATCTGATGTAGCTCTTAAAATTTGATTCTAGGTCTAGTTATCTATAATATGACAGAAAATACAAGTTCATATTGATTTAGTTTAACTGGTGACACCCTAACAACCAATTATAAAACATATAAAAAGATGACAGAGTGATTTTATGTGGTTAGAAATAAACACAACCTCATAACGGTAAAAAAAAAGCCCCTGAAAATCAAATCCAAGGGGCCAATATCGTCCGTTAATGGAAAATTGGATTTCTGACACTGAAAGTGTGTATAATGCATTACAATTGAAGTCTACAGGGCAATGTCTTGCACTGGAATAAACCATCTCATGAAGCACATAAAGATACTAGAGAAGGGTTGTTTACACTGAAAAAAATCCAAAAGAAATTACATGTCTAATAGTGTCTGGATAAAGAGAAAGGGGCAATACAATAAAAATATAATACAAATCATATTGTTTTGAGCCATTGAAATGAAGGAGAAAAATAAAAAGCTATTAAAAAGTAAGATCGTGTATCATATAAACCTGAAAGCCTCGATGATGTAGGAAGTGACAGCAGCTCCTCCCTCATGTGGGTTGGGCTGCCAAGTGAGAGTGACGCTATTTGAGGTCACATCTGTTACCACAGGTTTCTGCGGAGGACCAGGCAGCTGCAGGGACTGCGAGACCCGCGGGACAGAGGACGTTCCAGTCGCTAAACACAGGAAACAGAGTCAAATGTGACTGCCTGACTATTCCGTCAAGGGTGCATTCATGTCCAAGGACGTTTGACTGCACATTGAAATCATCAGTACGACGTGTTCCTTGAAGTGTCAGCCTTTTCAAAGTCTTATAAAGCGCTGCATTACAGTGAAGAATGCTTGTATGCTACCTTTCACTGTCACGGTCCCACTCCAACTCGTCTCACCAGTGGAACTGGATGCGACACAGGTGTACGTTCCTGAGTCGGTCTCCTAGCAACAGAGAAGATAAAGTCATCTCTGAAAGACGACAAAGATAATTGTGAGCATGCAATGTTTCTGAAGTAGTTCTACGCTGTTCCTCCTCTCCAAATGATGCGGATAAAATCTATTGTTTCAGCCGATCAGTTTGTTTTCAGTTAGTTAGAGGTTGTGACTGTTAGGACTCCTCTGAGATCATTTTTGACATTGTCAACGTTTTATTTTATATTCTGGATACTGCAGTGTATATTTTTAAAAGTCTCAATTAAGGTATACAGACCTGGTACCACAGATGGCATTCAGTCCGATACACAGCAGCTTCTCTTACTTAAAATAACTTTCAAATGACAATGTCTTTTGAACATTATTTAATATCAGCATTGAAAAAAACGATGAATTTAAGAACTGAATTTTGAACTGCAATTAAGACAGAGAAAGAGGAATATCAATAGTTCAACACAAGAATGTTGAAGAACTAAATATGCCTATTTACTATATACAGGTGGAATACATTTTTCTCTAATAAGGCATTTTAATTCACTTTCATTAGTTTTAAAACATAAAATCATCCAGTGCAACAAATTAGAAAATAAATAGGCATCATTTTTGGAGTAAGATTTTGACTAAATTAGTGCATACTGGGAAATGATGTGTTGCTCGACTCTGGTCCATAAAAATGAAAGTTCATTTATTAAATAAAATGCACATATACTTAACACAACAATATTTAAATATTGATAATTCATATAAATGTTTATTTAAAAGATCACATGTTTCTGGAACTACTCCATTTGCTATGTGTATGAAATACAAAAAAAAGTTAAAAACTATCATTTCTTATAATATAACATAATTGTCATTGTAAAAAAAATATATATTGTTGGTTTAACTTAAAAAAATAAGTAACCTGGTTGCCTTAAAATTTTAAGTTGATTGAACTGGAAAAGGTGAGTTAATACAATGAAGAAAATTGATTTAATCATCAGAAACTCAAAATATGATTGGGTTCAAGGTTGTGATAACACATCTTGAAAATATATATATTTTTACAGTGTACTACCAACTTTTCTTATACTGTTATATGATACATGATGTATTATAGGCTGCTTTAACATTCAAAAGAGCTCCACAAAGTTATATTTGCAAATTAAATAATTCAGTCATGTATCTAATTATTTGATAGGCTAATATATATATTATGTCAAACACTATATCATGGCATGACCGATTTGTCTGGTTGTTCAGATGTATGGAAGCCAGAGCTTTAAGTCCCCAGCTATTTTTCTACTGAACGTACTGGATGAATGAATGCCAGAATCAATTAAAACAAATCTTACTCTTTACTCCGATCTGGAAAGGAAACTGCAGATTAGTGTCACTTCCACTTTATCAGCGTAATTTTGTGTGTGTAATTACATTTCAGCTAAATGTACGCAGAGCTTCTCAGAGCGATCAGATCTGTTGGTTATTGATTTATGAACATTACGCAGCTAAACTTGTTTTGCATGCATTGATGGAAACCCTGCCTCGAGGATAAGAAACGCTCAAGTGGACACCATTATTTCAGGTGTGCTTGTGAACGTCTCACTCAGTTTGAAATGTTTTCTCAGAGCCTCTCTGTCCAGGGAGATTTTGCCTTTCACAGCCCTAATCAAAGCAAACAATTCACATCTTTGTCTGAAGCGTCTGTCAAATACCTTCACACCGCTGATGTGTAAAGTGCCGTTTTCCATTAGGCTAATGTGAATGTCATCGCTCAGAACGCTTTGGCCGTCCTTCTCCCACCTGACGCTGGGGATTGGGCTGCCCATCACATGGCACTGAAGTAGGGCGCTGGAGCCTAAAGCGAGCGTCTGGTTGGCTGGACCCTGTCGGATAATTGGAGGGACGAGATCTGATGGGCCTGGAGGATAAACAGCAGAGTGTGTTTGTGAGGAGTGTGTTTGCATCTGTTCAGTTGTCTAATAGTGCCTCTGGCATCCAAAGATCAGCCTTACTTACTTGCAACTTACAACTGGCAGTCAGAGTTAATCACACTTTGAGAACACAATGGCAAAGAAGATGGAGATATTCTGGAATTGGGGTGATGGGTCAGGATGTTAGACTAGAAGACTACACTGTGTTTCTTTGTACATTTGTCTTGTTTTCTAGTAAAAACATCTAAACATTCTTGAAATCAAGATACATTTATTTGAGAGGCAAAATTGCTAAAGATATTAAGGGCCAGATTTACTAAACAGGGCAAATCCCATAAAAGCTCCCATGGAGTTGAAAGTTCTGCGGGTGATCTACTGACAATGTGCAAATTAAAGAACACAGACACAACCGGATCATTTCCATAATGACCAATGCAATCTATTAAGAGCAGCGCAAATCTGTGTAGGGTCTGAGCCGATGAAAATCAGGTGCGTGTGATCTACTAACAACGCAGGAAAAATTGGGTTAAGACGTGCTTTTTTTGGGCATTAAATAATTGCATAAATACCAGTAAATTGACTTAGAGACAAATCTTTGTACATCACGTTGCATGATTCATTTAAATACTCTCCTCCAATTTTTTGGCTGAAAGATAAACTCCTCCAAATGCATTTGTCATAAGGACACCCACAAATATAACAGCCCATGCATTTTCATTGCAAACATTTCACAGCGTGTCTTTAGTAAATCCTGTCATTTTGTAACATCAAAAGAGGGTTTGCACTGACGCAAGCTGTTAGTAAATCTGGCCCTAAGTCTTGTTTTTTTTTTTTTTTAAAAAGTCATCAAAATTAAGCATGTTTATGCTTAAAACAAGAAAAAAAAATCAGTCAGCTGGGGTCAAAAAGATATTATTGGCAGATATGTTTTTTTTTTAAATGTAATTTTGCTTCTCAAGTATGTATCTGGATTTAAAGGGGTCATGAACTGGCTTTTTAAATTTTAATATATTGTTGTCTGAGATCAACTTATGACGTTCGCTTGGTTTTTGCATTCAAAAATGTCAAAATGAATAAGTAATAGGCTATTTTCTACCCTAGTTTTACCCAGGTGAATTACGAGATACTGCAAAGTTTTTAAAAGTAAGTTAAGTACACTTCACTTTTAGTGATCCCTAAAAGCACCATTAATTAAAAACAAGCTTCATGATTTAAGTAATATACACATCAAAATTGAGAGCTGTGTACACTGTTCACGTTCAGGCGATATGTTAATTCTATGGGTTTTCTACACAATCATCTCCGGAGATGCCATTTGCTGGGTGGGATGAACAGTAATCCCAGATACTCACCAGCTTCCACTTCCAGCAGAGCCTTGGCGAGGACACTTCCTGCCACGCTGATGGCCTGGCAGATATAGTGGCCTGAGTCCTCAGAGTGAACATCAGAGATGGACAGCTCTCCGCTCATGGACACAGAATAACGGCCCGACTTGGAAGGAGGTTGGCCGGGGAAAAGCAGCATCTACATCAGAGGACAGACTCTTGAGTTCACACCACACCGTGGGCAAAATACCCAGTGTTCAGAGGCATTGAGAGTCTGTTTTACAAGATCTTTGTTCTTTTGAAGTGAAAGGGTTGGAATTTATTGTAATTAATTGTTTATTCTCATTTCCTCTGATTTTGCATTTAGATTATATTTATGTCATAAATATAAAAAGTTAATGTTTGAAGCACTAATAATTTAATTTAAATCTTGAGAAATGAAAACATTAATAGCAATGTTCACACTGTACATATTGTTGTGATGCCTAAAATCTCTTATAGCATTTAAAATAATTGATTTCAGTTTATTTTCAATTTATTCAGAAAAAAAAATTGAATTGGCCATAGCATGAAAATAATTGTGATTTTAATTATTTTAATACCCACCATTTATCATTCATCAGCCATAACATAAACATAATTAAGATTTTAATTCATCCATAGGCTATAAGACTCAATTCATTAACATCAGTTTATACGTACGTGTTATACAGTTTATTTATCATGATCAAACAATGAAAAATATTTTTTAAGCATTTATTAATCTAGGTTAATGTTCATTTAGAAATAAATAATTGTTCATTTTTAAATTATGTTCATGTCATAATACATTTACATTATACAAATCATACCCTGCTGTTCAAAACTTTGAATGTTTTGAAATAAGTCTCAAATATACATTAAAACAGTAATATTGTGAAATATTATTAAAACTGAAAAAATAACTGTTTTATATTAATTTGAATAGATTTCAAAAAAAGTAATGGTAAAGCTGGATTTCCAGCATCATTACTCCAGTCTTTGAATGAATATTCTGATTTGATGCTCAAGGAACATTTTATATAATTATCAATGTTAAAAACAGTTGTGCTGCTTAATATTTTTGGAAATGTGGTCCATTTCTTTCAGGAAAGGAATGGAATGTAAAATTCGAAGAACAGCATTTATTTGAAGTTCACGTTCAAGTTCAAATGAATTTGTATGGCACATTTGACCACAGTTAACCAAAGTGCTTAATGTACACATACAAATAAACACATACAAATAAACAAAAACACAATAGAGAATGTCCCAATATCAAAACTCAACCCTAAATTAAAGCCATGGAATACATTTTTTAACCTTCTGGATCTTGGGAACATCGAGGAGAATCTATTTTAAAATAAGGGTAACACTTTACAATAAGGTTCATTAGTTAACATTAGCAAATGCATTAACTAACATGAACTAACGATGAGCAATGCATTAGTTACAGTGTTTGTTAATCTTTGTTAATGTTAGTTAATACAAATACAGCTGTTCATTGTGTGTTCATGTTAGTTCACAGTGCATTTACTAATGTTAACTAATACAACCTTTGATTTTAATAAAGTATTAGTAAATGTTGGAATGAATATTAACAAAGATTAATAAATGCTGAAGAAGTATTGTTCATTCTTAGTACATGTTAACTAATGTAGAAATTCACATTAGCCTACATAAATTGCATCAGGGTCAATTTCAATTGCGTCACTAGAGTCATCGACAGAGGGACGAAAGGTGGTAACGATTCTCCATCCCCCTAAAAACGTGGTTTCAACTGAGGGGAACCCCTACAGCAACAACTTGCACCGGGGCCCCGGATAGCCTAGCTACGGCCCTGTGTGTTATTAAATTATGATGCTGATTAACATACATAAACAAATCTAAAAACTAAAAGGCATTAAATATGGTGCGGATTAAAGATCTCATCTCCATCACCACTGCACATGAGCTGATTTGAGTGCTTCGTCATGCGTCTTTTTCTGGCAGTTTAATGCGCTGACCGAAGCTGCTTGCTCCTTTGTGGGACTTCAGTTAGGTGAACTCGGGGTATATACATGATGGGGAATCCATCCACTTCTCTTAAGAGGCTTAAACTGGGCAAGTAATGGACCAAGGTGAAAAGGCCACAGTGTAATCTGGAACACAGCTGCAAATGGTTTACAAACGTGAACACGGGGGACGTGCTATAAAATCCATTGCACAGGCAACACCCCAAATCACTCAAAAATGATGTGAGCCATCAAGGCTGAGTGGTCTTTAGCTCTCCGCTGCACTGACGGAGGTCTATTTTTAGAGTGGAAACATGCTCTTGACTGCCATTACACTGAACGCTAGGTCTGTGCTGGCTTATGGGAGCTGCTCTGACACCTGATGTTCCTCTGTGTCAAATTTTCTCTCCCAAATGTTTCACGAGTCTCTTCTTTTTCCCCTTAGAAGGACCCACTCTCTCCGGTGGTTTCCCATAATGGCTCTGAAAACATGCAGCCTGTTCAAAGGGCCAAAGGGCCCGGCTCCACCAATCCAGCGCTCTGAATCATCTCTTCAATGCAATCAGCTATATGCAACTAATCAGCATCAACAAGGGTAAATATAACCATCGAGAGGCTCTAGACTTGTTTTCAAGCTCTGGCTAAGTTAATGAGTCACAGAAAAACATGCTCTGAGATGCAAATACAACATCTTTATATGAAGAGATCTGCCTTTGATCTCCCATCAGGCTCTTTAAACCCACGCATGACATACAGAGAAGTATTGGATTATTGACTAACAATGCTGAGCAATCTCATAAGCTGCGTCTAAAATCATGTGCAAAAGATTGTGTGCTTGAACTATACAGTACTACATGAATTTCAAAGGGTAATATATTCTATATGATACATACACTGCCATTCAAAAGATTTTTTTTTTGTCTTAAGATCACCAAGGCAGCATTTATTTAATCAAAAAACTGTTTAATAGTTTAAAATGTAATTTAATTCTGTGATGGCAAAGCTGTTTGTTTGGTTAGATCCTGTAGGTGGGAAGTTGCACACTCACCTGACTGCCTTCTTTCTGCCAGAAAACAGCCGGAAGGGGGTTTCCCTGGGTGCCACACTGAAAACGAACAGTCTGTCCTTGAACAGCGACTTGATCCAGGGGACGTACATTAATCTGGGGAGCCACTAAGACCACAGAGAACCGAATGGGACTGGTTAGAGAATTTGCAAATGCTTTATGATTGTTCTGTATGTTTGTCATTTTTGCTACCTTTGTTTATACAGATACTGGAGGAAGGACAACAGATAATGGCAAATGGTGTTGGCAAAATAACACAAGCTGTACACATGCACCACCCACTATGGCAAAGACAGAGGAAAATTGCATTGCCCAGTAGAAGCTGCTTTCACGTTCTATCGGAATTATCATAATAAAAGTTTCCCAGTTAAAATTGCAAATGAATGCCCTCTCATATTTACCACTTGGAAACTTGGGGGTAATTTTGATACCCAAGTTCCCGAGTTGGGTGGGCCATAAATGTTAAACATGGCGGAGGGGAGAACAATTGCAGCTGGGACTGTTATTCTTTACTAGTTTTTTTTTTTCCCCACAACAGCTACATCACCTTGTCTTATTGTTAAAGTGGTGCATTTATACATTTATGAATAATCATTTGAAGCAACGATATTACAGTTAAAATTATTTTTATTGTATTTTTTTTATCAAATAAATGCAGCCTTGGTGAGCATTAAAAAATAAATGTAATTAAATATTGTAAAAAATCGTTATAGTCACTTTTGATGAATTTAACACAGTCCTGCTGAATAAAAGTATTCAGAAAAAAACTCTATACTTACTAAACCCCAAAAATTTGAACAGTCGTATATATAAAAACTAATTTAAATACACATTAAAATAAGACAATTGTTGATATTCAGTAAAGGTACAAAGCTATAAAATGAACATGGATAGCATTGATTTTCATAAGAAATATTATGAAGTGGAAATTATTGAAGCCTTTGGCATCTCAGCTCAAGTACAAGCAGTTTGTGGCATTGCTGAGAAACATTCTGAAAGGCCTAGAAGAGGTAAGGCATTTTTCTCAGAAACATCTGCGAAGTAGAAGAGCAAACGTCTCAGGGGGAGTCATTTATTTGCAAACTCTGAGTTGTTTTAGCACCTGATACACTAAAGGAACTATGCTAATAGTAACAACAGGTAACAAAACCCTAAAATCAGTTTTCAATCCAAAAAGATACAGCAGACTATTTGGCTTAATTTGCTGGCAGTTTGCAGCTGTTTTTTGAAAACACATTTTAATTCGTTTTTCATTATTTAATAGCTTTCATTAGTGATTTATCTTTCCTGTGGGTGTCTCTGACAATTACGACTCCTACTTAAACTTTGTTTGATTGAATTGAACCCTCACCAAATACCATCTACGAACAACCCATTATATGAAAAAATAAAGTGCTTTTTCCAGTATTTTAAATCACTTATCAGTTAAGTGTTGTCTTCTGTGGCTCATCGGCTCTGTGATTTGCACATTAGTGTGAGAGCCGTTGGATTAAAACATATAGTGTCTCCACTCAGCCCAGATTAAAGCAAGTAATTGGTTGTGACCGCAAAAGTAGATTCCGATGCTGGAGTCTGTGGCTCATGCAGGGACAGGGTCTTGAAAAACATCTGTTTTTAACTGCAATGTTTGAGATGGCTACTGCTTGGCTTATCGGTTGGGAAGCCAAACAGAACCACCGGCATTATCCAGCAGCCATTTCCCACCCACTTTTTAGTACGGCGCTGGACTCAGAGCTGTGTGTCTTTGTTTAGATAACCAGACTGCTACCCTGCTGTTCAGAAACTTCACAGTAGGTTTGTACACCAGATTCAAGTGAGAGAGCGTGAAAGGCAGACTGGGAGAAAAGCGCGAGATCTGACTCATTTGTGTTGTTTCTCCATTTTCACATTTTTTTCTGATGGGGCTACAAGCTCCTACACAAATAACAGCTTATGACGGGGAGCCGACAAAGATCACAAAAACCGGAGGAGAATAATAGTGTGTGGAAAAGTGGCTCTGGGCTAATGGAGCTACTGAACGCTTCTGCAGGTGACAATTCCCATGCGACAGCATATCTTGTATGTATGTATGTAAGCTTTGGGGACTGAAATAATGAGTTCAAGAAATGCTTCTGTTTATACGATTCTGGAGCCTTAAAGGGACAGAAGATATATATTTTTTTAAATGCCCCAGTGTTTATTTGTCCATACAATGAAAGTCAATTGGGTCCAATGGGAATATTGTTTTGGACCCAATTGACTTTCATTGTTTGGACAAAAATACTTCTCCACAGAAGAAATAAATTCATTCCATGTTTGGAACCTCACAAATGACAGAATTTTCATCTTTGTGTGAATTTTCATCTTTGTGCAAAAATGAAAATTCTGTCATCAATTAATCACCCTCATGTCGTTCCAAACCCATACAAATTTGTTCATCTTCGGAACATAAATTTTTATTTTTTGTATTTTTTTCTGTCCCTAGATTGTAAACTAAATCCATTTGAATTGAGCCGTTAATCCAAGTCTTATGAAAAGACATGATCACTTCTTATGATGAACAGGTTTCATTTAGGATTTTATTCAAATATTTGTACATATATGGGAAATGAAGAAGATGAACAAAAGTCTTATAGGCTTGGAATGACATGAGAGTGATTATCTGAAGACGGAAATTAAAATTTTGGGTAAATTATCCCTTTAAAAGCCACAGAATTAAAACCCACCCCTTTCCTGTTTTTAATACAGGGCACATTTGAGATGATCCAGTGAACGAGGATGCGTTTGACTCACGACTCATCCAGTAAGCATTTTGTTGTTGGGCTGGGTAAAAGCTTTCATGCACATGACCGTTCATCGTGTACACTTGTCTGATGAGTGTAAAAACAGCAGATGTGTGTGGTCAGTCGTAATCTTCCGCGCGTTAAGTCACTGATGCCGTGGCTTTGCTCTCTAGTATGTTGGGAAAATGTTAAGGCTAGAAGGCAGCAAACATCTGCTGAGAGGATCAGAGAAGACAACTTTCTCCTGACAGCCACAGGGCCTGTCAATCTCATACGAGCACAGGTGTTCTCATAACACCACACAGGAAATAAACTTTGACACACTGTGGGCTTTTCACACCTGGTATTTCTAGGAACTAGCCACAAGGATGGTTCCCTGAGAAATAGAAGTTCCTGTAAGGCAATTTTTCTGGTTTCTTTTATTAGTTTTTTATTTGTTTAACAGTTATGTCTAATACGTTATAATATAGAATTGATATGGAAAGAAAGTAGACAGAATATGAAAAAGTATTAGTGTTTGCCATGTGGTTGATGCCCAATAATGTTTCGCTTGGTCCCCTCAAAAGCCGTTTTCCACCGCTGGGCCGAACGATTCTTATTGCGTAACTGTTCTATTCCGTGCCGATCGGTTACGGTTTCATTTTCCACTGTGGGGCTGATAATGGCCTCTTTTTTGGAATGTAAAACTCACATCAGTATAAATATATCAATACATCAGTATCGATACGCCCATCCCTATCTTAGAACTAAAATCGTTTCCAGTTCTGCGGTGCGAACAGAACAAAAAGCGACTACTTCCGCCATTAGTTCTAGAAACTATGAAAATGTTCCTCTGGTGTGAAAGCCCCTTATGTTACTTAACTAAGTTCCTGAAAAGAAAACGTTACTGCGTATTAAGTTAACATATGGGACTGATGATCAGGTCCAAACTTAACACTTGCCAAGTGAGTAAAAACAGCTCTGGAGAGTAAATGGATTAAACGAGTTACTTTTTGACTTTTTGCACAATACTGCTGCATAAAGCATTTTTAAATCTGTAAGAATTATGGTGATATAAATGGAATATTTTTCACGTTAATCCACAAAAAGAAAAGGTGAAGAGTGAAATCTTGATATTTGTGACAGGTGCGGTTTTACTGAGAAAAGGATACTGGCTGATGTCATAAGATATTACTAAAACAGTAACACAGAAAAAACAACACATTGGGATTTTGTTCCCTTATATTTTAGCTTTGGTGGATTAATGTAAGGAATATTCCACATATAGTAGTGTTTGTCACAAATATACTAGAAAAAACAGCAAATCTTATTTTACTCACCATTAACAAGAACGGCAAAAGCAATTTTGGACCTAAATATATAGACAATTTTAATGGCTTTTTATTGATGTAGACAGTGAGAGAGAGGAAAGGATGAGGTAGAATGTGTGGGAACAGGATCAGTAAAAGTCACAAATCAAATTAACATCAAAAGCATGTGTGCCACACATCAATGTGGTAAAGCATGTGAACTTATAAATACACCACATTCAGCTCCTATTTTTTTTTTACCTATATTTTACATCATTTTTCAATAATCTGAGATTCACCTACTGTAAATTCAGTCTCTAAATGCTTGCAGCTCAACTTGTAGAGGATGATGCCAGTTTGATATCCAGGTAATACTAGTTACAATGATAGAATGATACAATGTTCCGCTTTAATTATAGTTTTTTTTGAATAAAAGTGTCTGCCAAATACATGAAAATAAATGTAAAATTTGCTTAAAGCAATCACTTCAGTTATAAAAAATGTAGTCTCTTTTTTAAAACGTTTGAATGTTCATGTTTCAATTATATGAATGTTAAATCTAATGGCAGAATCATAGCAATGACTTAAAATGTATTTTTGAAGCATTCACACACACACTATGCAAAGCAGCGGACATAAAACAGCCTGCCTTTGCCACCTTGTGAGATGGCAGCATGCAGTGAAGAGGAAGGAAAGGTTGGTAAGGATGAAATGATGAAGGGCAACAAAACATAAAGGCAAATGAGACAGAAAATTCACAAATGAAACATCAAGAAAATGGCTCTGAGTCAGAAAATAGAGGGAGAGAGAGGGGGGGGGGCAGAAAAAGGAGGCATAGGCAGGAGATGGAGGCAGAGTTGCTTGGTCTCATCTTAATTCAGACTGGCAAAATAACTGGAGGATGAATTGAATCAGGTCTGCTACAGCTGCTTCCCCCGGCTTGTGCCAGTTAGATTCCCATCCAGTTCTTACTTGCTCAGTCTTTCTCTCTCTCATCTCTACAAACACACATTTTTCCACGTTCTATTAACACTGCCTCTGCACTCCGGCAGTTTGCTAAAGCACACCGTCTCTCTATAACAGCTGTCAGATACTGTACAGTAATCCACATGCTTGAACATAAGCTTCACATAGTTGCCCTGTTCCAAAACATAGAAAATTCTGCCTTAATTTATTCACCCTGATGCTGTTCCAAACCTGTATGAGTTTCTATCATCAAAAGAAATATATATTTTGAAAAATGTTTCAACTGTTTTTGTCCATACAATGAAACTCAAAGTTCAAAACAACATTTGGTCTCTATAAGGGTTGGTTATCATTTGAGTTTTGGTGATTCCAATTCCGATTTTGTTTTTCGATTCCGAGTTTGATTCCCAGGTTTGATTCCAATAAGGTAAAAAAAAGTTAAACATTTAGATATCAAACATTTTTATTCTCTTTTGCTAAACTTTTTGTTGCAGTTGAACAAAAATGAACAAAAATTAGCAGCCTAAAGAATGCTTACAAAAGGAACTGTGTGACTGTTTACGAGAATATTTTGACGTAACTGTGTGTGTATTAGTCCACTCAAGCGCAAGAAGATGTGAATGAGAAACTCAATTCGGTATTCGCACACTGTGTGAAAGCGAGTGCTGAATTGAAATCTCTTTCACATCTTCTTGCACTTAAATGGGTTAAAAATCACATAAAAATTGGTAAATATCCGTGAATTCTAAGTATTTTTATATGCATTTCAGTGTTGTGTTGTTAGTTGTCACGTCAATTGTGAATAGAGTCTCTCAACTACTTTGTATTGCTGCCTATGAAGAGGTTTCTAAATCAGTCACTTCAATAGCTGCGTTTCCATAACCCTTCAATTTGCGCAAATGAAAATACGCTCAATGGAAACACGTTGATTTCGCAAAAACTCCCGTTTATCGCAAAAAAGTTTTTACGCTCGCATGAGGAGGTTTTTCAGGCAATTCGAAAAAGGATTTTTTTGCAAAACTGCAATGGAAACGGATTTTGCGCATTTACAGTCACATGACTTAGAAGACGGAGTGTGTTTTAGGTCCGTGTCTGTGAAATAGGTTATAAACCTACCAAAGTCCGTTGCCATGATTTTTGGAATGAGGAAAAAAACGACGTTTTAGTCGCATAACATCGGTTAATGGAAACACCGTCATTTCGCAATAGTTTTTTATCGATATTTGGAAAATATCGCAAATCTGTAAGGGGCCGCTTGTTGTTGTCGTTTATATTTTTATCCATTGCTTTATCCATTGCTGATCTGACGCTACTAGCTAGCTACCATAGACAGTCTGACAGCTGTTTGCTCACGCACGGAGGGGGGCGGGGGCGGGTGCGGTTGGGTTGGAGACGCGAGCGCCAGGCGGAGTTTCAAGTGGAGCTGGTGATTGGATGAGAGCAGTTGACCAATATAAGCGGCCGCACAGCTTACATTGGTCAACCTTTCTGCGGCTGTACAGCCAATAGAGTGAATGGATTTTTTTCCTTCTTTTTTCTATTCATATTGTTAGGATTGTACTATATAACCATAACCAGCATCTAAACGAGGATATTAATAATGAACAATCTTTGAAATTGTATACCCTAGCTTTAATGAAAATGTCCCCGGATGAACTATTACTTCCATCAAAATTCTGAAGTGCGCATCCGACAGACACTTCCACATCCCATGAGGCCAAAGGAGAGGATTTGTCCTTGGCAGTAAAGTAAACACGACTGCTGCAGGTCACATGACAACGCAACATGATCTATTCATTCATTCAGAACACATTCATACTATATAGAATGTATATTTTAATGGTCATGAATTAAGTTTCAAACCAAATACCATAGTACTACTCATGTATATACAGTATGCGATTTCAGACGCAGCACTGTATGTGTTCATTATGCCAAATGTTTAAAACTAGGCTTTACTGTCAACTGCCTATGTAGACAACGAGGCAACTTACTAGGTAGAAAAGAGCTAACATTTAAGCAGCAACAGATGAGCTAATACTGTAAACTCTACTGTGAGACTTCACACAGATCTGAAAGATTGCACCTGACAGGTCCAAATGGCTGTGGTGAGGTCTGTTTAATGGAGAAGAGCAACAACATATGCGTGAAGCTAAGAATATCAGCTCGCTTCATTGTGATTCATATTTCATGTGCTGTGTGATGTGTCAACACACATGTAAAAGGCTGACAATGCATGCATGTCTTACCATGGACCTGCAGCACGGCGGAGGCTTCGGTTTTGCCTACGCTGTTTTCGGTGACACACGTGTAAGTGCCCTCGTCCTCCGCTCTGACCCTCATCAGATGAAGGCTGTTGTCACCACGGATCTCAAATCTATTCAGCCGAGAGGGTGAAAAGAGACAATGGTTGTCCGTGAAGAGAGTAGATTGAACAGTCACCACACCTTTCTTCAACATAATGTCTACATCCTTCAACTCTCTGAGAGGACATTTCTGTGTAATTCCACCATATATGCCATGTATATTATATATCTCATCTAGTATGAGATGATGAGATAACCTTTATCACATCTGCTGCGGTTAGTTCATTTTTGGGTGAACTAACCCTTTAATGTTGATTATATGATTTTCATTTTTTTAAATATACTGAATGTAAATATAATTATCATATTGCAAATAATATTATTTAGCAAGTAATCACATATCTAATTTTTCTTCAATATCTTGCAGCCCGATTTTATGTGAATAAAAGCCTAAATGAAATCTGTTTATCATATAAACATCAGTCAACACACATATTCAAATATGGTAGCTCAACCATACTCAACTTCATACATTTTAGTGGAATGGACTTTCAATGGAGTGACAGAAATCTCTCAGGTTTAATTAAAAATATGTTCATTTGTAAGAGTTTGGAACGACATGCGAGTGAGTGAATGACAGAACTAAAAATGTTTGATAAATCATCCCTTAAATGTTTTGTTTTATGTTGTTGTATTATGCAATAAAACATTTATCTTTGTGAATGTAGTATGTATACAAGGCTGCATCCCAGTTTGACGTTGATTAAGCTTTCTCCTTCTCTAACTGAACTATAATGGAAAAAAGGATCACAAATGTTTGTAAGCAGAGTCTTGCCTCCCCCGTGGTAGTTCTCCCTCGTCTCTTTTCCAGCGGACGGTCGGAGCCGGGTCTCCATGGACCTCGCACAAGAAGTCAACATTCTCCTCAGCCAAAACGATCTGATTCACAGGTCTGCGGATAAACACTGGCCTCTCTGCTCCCGCAATCACACAGACAAAAATCACACTGTGCTTGCTTTCACCCTTTTGTCAAACAAACAACAACAAAAAAACTAGCCAGGAAATTGAACTTACCAAAAACAACGAGTTCGGCTGGATCACTGTCTCTCTCGCCCACCATATTGGTGCCCACACACACATACATGCCTGCGTCACTTTTCCGGGTGTGAGAAATCATCAGCTTACCACCACGCATCTGAAGAAAAAAAATCAATAAAAATAATAACATTTTTATCTTCATATCATTTAACTTTGACAAATATGTACACATACTTGACATATTTCAGAAGCCTAATAAAAGCCTCTTTTTATTTTAAATGGTTATGGTCGCCTTATGGGCTCCACCATGTTGAGGTCACATGACCAAACAGTTTCTTTCAGTAACCAGCAATGTTATTTTAGTATTATTTATATACTATTATATATGTTGAATTTTTATTTTAAATTTAGTTTAAGTTTTAGCCTTTGACATTTGTAAAAAAAAACAACATTTTAGCTTTAATTTATTTTTATTTTAGTATTTTCATTTTAGTACTAATTTAACATATTTATTTCAATTAGTTGTCAAAGCAACACTTCAATTTCCCTTTCATTTCAAAACTTTTCATAACAAAAACTGATTTTTAATGGCTTTAGTTTTAGTTAACGAAAAAAAAAATGCTAAAATGCACCTTTCTTTTACACACACTCTCAAACTCACGAGTGATGTCATTTGTTGGTGGTGACTAAGTACAATGATTTATGTTTCAATCAATGCTGGCTGCAGAGTAGAGTGATGTCACTGCTACACTACAACCTAATCATCACTCCTGTGCCAACATTGCACTTTCTGCTATTGACTCACAGAGATCCTGCCGTCCTTGTCATTGACACGAACATTGTTCCTTTTCCAGAAAACAGTGGGCTCGGGGTGACCCCTGGGAGGGACGCACTCCAGTACAGCAGGCTCTCCGGCTGCCACCACCACGTCATTGGGAGGCTGGCGAAAATCATCCCTGAGAACTGTGGGAGATTGAGACAAGTGTTAGCTCTATGTTGTGTTGTTTTTGTTTGTCCCCTGTGTGAGGTGTTTATTCATGGATATTCATTGAGGAACTTGGGAACTATGAGTCAGAGATGAATGAGGCATCTTCAGCTCCTGTCCTCAAATCTCCTGTGCTCCTTCCAGCATGTAATGCCTTGGCTTTCTCATCTTATCAATTATAAAGTGTTTTCATGACAACACATTCACATTTAAATACAGCTGAATAATTGACCAAAGAAAAAAAAAGAGACATTAGATTACTGGGAGGTCTGTTCCTTAACTTAGTGAGCTGCCAAATATTTATACTACCGTAATATATTCCATGACTGGAATAATGGCTGCTGAAAATGCAATTGTAATTACATTACACAATATTAATGTTTTTACTCTGCTTTTGGTTAAGTAAAGCCTTCGTGAGCATAAGGGACTTTTTTTCAAAAACACTGATAATCTTACCGACCCTAAATAGAGTGCTCTAAATAGGCAGCAACTCTGTGTGCCACACAAATAGTCCTCTGCATGAAAGATTCGACTCAGAATTGATGTCAACAAAGTATGGCATTAGCCTGTTGCTAATCTAACAACACAATTCAGAAATAAGCACAGAATTATGCTTTTTTTCTTTTGTAAAGAACTAAAGCTACACTAAAACCAACATTTAACTCGCGTTACAGAACTGTTTACAACAGAGTTTGACGTTAGCATGATTGTTAACCAAACAATACGAACCAAACCAAACTGCCTTGCTGCAAATGTTATAGCAGCTGGATTTATCAGACACACAATTATTAATTATATTTAATGAATTATCCAACAGACAGACCCCTCGCCTAACAACAAAACTAGATGCCAAGATGTCTGTGACAACTCCCAAAGGCACAACAGGCGCCCGGTTACCATGGCAACAAAGACAAACCAGCACAGATAAGACAGTTTACCAACCAAAGGAATGTAGAGAGAGTTCACTCTCAATGGCATTCCCTATTAAAACAGGCATATGAGGTTCATAAGAAAGGACTTTCAATTTATTCATAATCAATATGATACAAATTTAATACAAATTTGTAATAATTCATTACTCATATGTCGCTTTTGAGCTAATTTACATTCTCCTAATAAGCATAAAACTCTGTAACACAAGGGTTCCTTTTCTAAATAGTCTAAACTATTATTTGTTTCAGTATTGAATGAATTATATTTCTTGCACTTTTTTATTTTTCTCACTAACTTTGCCCCACATGTATTCTGAGTTGTTCTGAGTGTCCTTCTGTAAAAAACTAGAGTGATGTTGCCTTGGAATTCAGCTAACACAAGGTATATGTTGCATTCAAGTCATGCTGAAAGATCGTATTTACAATTTCAATGCACATGGACACTATAGATGTCCTTTCTTTTTTTCTTGAGTTTCTGAGTTGGGAGGAGCATGTCAGTGAGAAACATGGTGGAAGCAATGAATGCAGAATCTGTTGATGTTGATGGTACATTTGTTGAATTGAATCAATTTAAAATAACACTAAGTTGTATATACAAAATATGATTGTAGTTCAATTACTATATAACATAATAATTCAGTTTACAGCACCTTAAATTTAGTGAAAACTGCAAAAACACACCTGATGTGCATTCTTGCTGTATTTTTTTAACAAAAGGTAACTTGTGGGTGTGACGATACACTTAGCTCACGAGAAGATACGATACACGATACAGGGTTTACAAGAATACGACGAGTATTATTTTTTAACACTATTTTTAAGAAACTTTAAATGACTAACTATACAACGCATGTCCAAATGCTTCCCAAGGCGTCAGTTAAGTGACGCCTTGGGAGTGAGAATGGGCTGAACTATATGACTGAAAAAATAGTACTTTATTCGCCCGAAAGACAGAAAATGCAAAACAATGCAGGTGCATTTTGAAATGTATAAACTAACCTAGCACTGTCAAAAATAATTCTTTTGGTAATTGAGTAATCACTCAAATATTTTGACGGTAATAAATCTAGACCTATATAAAAAGTAGCCTTTAAAATTACTCAAAATACCTAATAACAATGAGGCAATAATAATTGATTCAAATAAAGTAAAGCAAGTAATGATATGTTTTTTTTAACATAATCATATTTAACTTATGCACATTATGTATAATAACAAATGACTGCAGAGGGTGTCAACGGCTTGGTGATTATTGTTGTTACACTTTACAGCATGTTCAAATCCTTGTTTAATATTGGCCAAACAACATTTAATTCAAATGTCCATTTAATATGTGGTCACTTCTTTAGGATAGAACAAGAACATGTGGACATCAAAACATGCAAACTCGGAGCTATAGGGTTTAAAGTTTTAGGTATTGAAGTATTAAGTATATTGATGTATTTGAAAGCTGAATCTTGTTTCATATCAAAAGCAACCTGTTTTGTCTGTCTGGCACGTTGTCAGTGTCCTCTTTTCTCTGCAATGTTTTTCACTGCGTGAGAAAATGGACGTGTGTGCGTGCGTGATAGTTGGTAGCCCTGCAAACACAGTGAAAGGTTTAGCCAGACATTCAACTGTCATCTCGTCTAAAAATATTGCGAGATCGCATGGCAAAACCAAGAGAAACCAAAGTTTCTGACCAAAGTGAATTGAACCCATCGGACGTCAGAATAACGAGTTCCCAACTTTATGAACTTCCCAGAAAGATTCCAATGCACCATTAGACGGCAGCCCACTATGTTTTGGACACAAGTCTCACAATGGTCGGTTATGTTGACCTGACTAAGCATCAGTGTTAACAGCAAACACTGAACTCTGACCCTTCTTTTTTCTATGCCTACATATCACACTGAGAGCAAACAGCAGAATGATTCATGGACCACAGCCTGGCTTGGCAGGAAAAGTTACCCATAAATCCCCAGTGGTGATTGACAGATTAAAAATGCGACCGCTGCCCTGTATGGCAGCTGCCTCAGGGGCACTTTGAGTTTCCTACATCAAAGGGTGAGCTCCTACAGAGCTGTAGGCTCACAACAGCGGTTGGTACAGGGCCTCACACACACATAAATGCCACTCATTCTCATCTCAGTGAACTATAAATGCATTTCGGTAATACAAATGTACACCAATGTCCACTGATTAATCATGAGTGTGGCATAATATCTTCCTATCTTATCTCTTAAACACCTTGAGGATGAATTTTTTCGATAAACACCTCAATTAAAATGTCATTTCAGCGGTCACTGGCTGCAAAAGGAAACCGAAGAATGTAAAGCATGAAAATTATTCTAAATAAATACATTCAGCCATCGATTCATAATTGTGATATGACCTCTGCAGCAGTTCTGCTGCAATACCGAGTCCTGGCTAGTACACCGACGTTTGGCAGACTTTTATAAAAGCAATGACTTGTGATAATTACTTATAAATATTCATTGAAATGTCATGTTATTGGTGAGATCCAGAGAAGCGGGTGCTCCATTTTCTTTGTTAGTTAAACTCACGCTCATCTCCCGCTTATGAATATTCATATCTTTCAGGCTGGGACAAATGGTGCGGGTCTGTCTATGGGCAGTAAGTGACTCATGTTAGGATTTGAAGCACCCAACCTGGCCATAAACAACTTCACCACTCCATGATCCAACACAATCTGCCACATCTTGTTTACTCAAACCATCTTCACATTTTAGATTCTTGAACCATGATATTTCCTGTGTCCTATTCACTAACTACTTGAAATCCAGTTTACAGTTAATGGTAATCTAGAACTTTTTTTGCGATTTGCAAATATATGCAATCTAAAAAATGCTGGGTTGTTTTAACCCACATTTGGGTCAAATATGGACAAACCCAGCCTTTGAGTAAAATTTTTAAATGACATTTTTAACCACACATTTGGGTTTGTCCATATTTTACCCAAAATTGGGTTAAACCAACCCAGCATTTTTTACAGTGTAGATTAATACCACTTTACACTCACAATCCAAAAATATCTTAATTTGTTTTCCGAAGATGAATGAAAGTATTACGGGGTAGGAACAACATGTGAGGGTGAGTAATTACTGACAGAATTTTCATTTTTGGGTGAACTAACCCTTTAAAGTACACTTTTGAAGGAAGAGTCGTGTTTTTCCAAGGATAATTTCATTCTAATTTATAAATGGCCATCTTAAAACAAAATATACTAATAAAAAAAGAACAGATGTGCCAGGAGCCAAAAGCCAATTCCACAACATTCTTAACATTTAAAAATGCAATTACCAAACAAACAAATAATTTCATCCCCTGAAGCTATGTTTTTAAACTAATTTACTATAAGATAAATCCCCCCGTTGGCCGCAAGAGCTGCTGACTCCATCAAGGTTGTCTGTCAGTTAAATGAGTATCAACTCATTCCCTTGGCCCACTCTGACAGTGTACAAAAAAAAAAAAAGCACAAGGCAAGCCATCCCTAGCATATAAAAGCATGTTTTACGAGAGAAAGAGCACAGATGTTGCAGAAAAGTGGCCAACCGACTAACGGCACACCCAATACAGGCATCTGCCAAATTCCGCAAAACCCATCCGATGGGACACCTTCCAATCAGTGCAGATCCGATGGCCACTCTGATAATGATACTGTAGCTAATGCTGAGGGTGACTGGTGGCCCCAAAATCGAAACATAAAAACAGTGGGGTAATGCATGCATGCATGAGCTTGCAAATTGGCAGTGTGCATACATTCTCGGTCCCCTGCAGTCGACTGTGGTGGCCCGTCACCTCCTGAACAGAATTTAACTCGCAGGAGGCATATGCACAAGCAAGGACAAGGACAGGCTGTTCCAAAACAGCCCACAGCATGTTGCATTTTTCAGGAGACGAAGCCATGTGTTATTCATGAGTGGTTAAGAAAAGAGAGGGTAAAATAGTGTCACCATTTACCTAGAGCCGGCCAGCCCGCACACAAAGCTCGTAAGTGCCCTCGGCCATACCACTTGCCTAGTTATGGGTTCGAATGATACACG